TTTTTTTTTTTTTTTTTTTTTTTTTAGATGAAATTAAGGGTGGTGTTAATATTCTACGAGCACTGAGTTCACTTTTTCACTAATCTTCCTGTCACTTGCTGTAAAATCAATGGCGTTTCACGTAGCTGTGACATTTAGAAATTCATAAAAACAAGACACTTTCATATTCATAGACGCGGAATCTCAAGAATTCATTTTTATTTGAATAATTGAACGAGATACCTCGAGTCTTAATTGAAATGCAAAATCGTGCATACATACATATCTCGTGCAAAGCGTCATGTACGAACGATACTGCGTTGAGAAATATTTTGTCCGCAGACATACAGATTAATTAAAATCCACAAACCTTCTTTCTCTGTTAGTCTTGTAAGTATTACGTACGCAGACCACCATGGCTGACTACTAGATTTTTCTAAAAATTTACCACTCTGATTGACGATCGAGGAATCGATGATCGAGACTGCAACGCGGACACTTGTGGAGTGTGTCAAATCGGTAAACGGTGCGGCCCGCGGGGGTGTTAGAGTACGTTTTGTGCATTCGATATTTCTGCGAAAGCCGTGCGTCTTCGGGAGACATTCAGAAGCGATGGACCGATGCAAATCGAAAGGACGCAGGTCAGACTTCGACAGCCCGCAATAAGAAGTCGTCCCCACGATTTTTCATATTCTCCTGAGATTTACGCGCGCACGTGAAACAACGGTTTCGTACGAGTTGAGAAAAACGCCAAGCGGCATTTATTTCGTACAAAGAGAATCCCGTAACATATTTCTTTCGAGCAACAATAGTCTTTTCTAAAAGGCTACAAAGAGAGAGAAAGAGAGAGAGCATTATTACGAGTTATCGTAGTCAATATTCTTGGAAAAGCTTTCCAACGGTTTACCATAATTCATCAAACTTTTATAGTTTATTGGAAATTCAGCCTCTGAATTAACTATCGTCGCGAAGTCTCGGGAATCGGGTCGCAGCAGCAAACAATTGGAAACAGATCTGTAACAACACTTTTA